AAAAAAAAAAAAAAAAAGAAAAGAAAAAGTTTAATGTAGTTTAGAGAAAATTTTTTGTGTTTATATTTACTTGTTTGTGACTTGTGGAGCGACTACTAGATCTGCAGGAATAAAAACCAAGTTGCTAAATGGAATGTTTCTGTAAGCACTGATTTTACTACAAAATTTAAAAATTAAGATCTTGAAATGTATACTTTATTTTTCTTATGTATCTGTTTTTGGGTTTCAGGATATTGTGAACACCAGCTCTAGAAAGTCAGCACGCTTTACCAGCCAAAACTTGAATCTTTATACATCAGTTTTGTAAGGAAAGACTCCAGGGTGGGGCCAGACCTAAATAAGTCCTCCAAAAAGGGTGAATCTGATCAGAACTGAGGCAGGGAGAAGACCCTAGGTAGAATTTGTTCTCTATGCCTCTGGGGTATTTCCAGTTCTGTTTTTCCTAAGCTTATCTAAAAACTTAAATTTCAGAGTTTATGTAACTTTAATCTATTTTTGCCACTGCTTTGTCAATTTTATAACATATACTAATAAGCAATTTAAATTAATCTTTTAAAGTTTTCACTTTCTAGGATAATTTTAGTAGAAGATAAATATGTATTCTTAGAAAAGTAAAAAAAAAATAAATAAATAACAACTCTTCCGTCCATAAATATCCCTTCAGGTAATAACATCAGAAGTCAAAAAAAAAAAAAAAAAGTGGACCGAGTTTTTTGTTTGTTTGTTTTGGCACACATCTATTCATTGTACCAACCATATGATGCTTATTTCAATCATGTATCCAGTTGCTAGTCTAGACTAAAAGTTTGTGGATAGTAGGGACCATGACTGCTGTATCTATTTTTTGAATGACCATATATGTAATGGAAGCTATTAGTTTATTTGTTTGAGGCACCAGAGCTGTCACCAGACCTCCTCTTTGTCTTTCACCCAAGTACCAGAAAACTTCAGAAACTCTCATCTGGGCACCAACCAAAGTTATCTCTTGTACCAGGGAGAAGACAACACAGGATAACTCCTTTCTCTTACACCGATACAGAAGCAGAATTAATCATTCTTGTCAGCCTGACACAATTCTGCCCTGGACATCCTCAAATGTCTTAAAGACATCTAGCTGGTTGTGAGAGGATTTCCAGTGACCCAGGGCTGATGGTCGAATGATAACCCAGGCTGGAGTGCAATGGCGCGATCTCGGCTCACCGCAACCTCCGCCTCCCGGGTTCAGGCAATTCTCCTGCCTCAGCCTCCTGAGTAGCTGGGATTACAGGCACGCGCCACCATTCCCAGCTAATTTTTTGTAGTTTTAGTGGAGACGGGGTTTCACCATGTTGACCAGGATGGTCTTGATCTCTTGACCTCGTGATCCACCTGCCTCGGCCTCCCAAAGTGCTGGGATTACAGGCTTGAGCCACCGTGCCCGGCCTCTCAGGCTGATTCTAAATAGAAAATAGAACTGCCTTGGTGGAGCTCCAGAAGCTGGATCACCTATCCTGATTTGCTAGCTTTTGGGTAAGAAAAAGGACAAGAATATTCTATTCCAATATCATAATTTAAAGGTAGGTATAGTTGTGGTCATGGCCCTGAATACTTTGTGGCCTTGATATCTCACTCTTAAGATGCTTGTTTACACTTAACAGATTGTCATCAGCTTCTATTTACACCTGGAGCCTCTCTCATAACTGTAGCAGTCACTACACAAGATCTGAAAAGCAAAGAGCCACATTCTCAAAGGGGGGCTTTAAAATTCCTGTGTTGACAGCCTGGCACCATTGCTTACGCCTGTAATCCCAGCACTTTGGAGGCTGAGGTGGGTCAGCTATCTGATCTTTGACAAAGCTGATGTAAGGAATGTGAAAAGAACTCCCTATTTAAGAAATGGTGCTGGAACAACTAGTTAGAACTACACAGAAGATTAAAACTGGTCTCTTTCCTTATACCATATGTAAAAATCAACTCAGGATGAATTAAAGACTTAAATGCAAAACTTATGATTTAAAAAAAAAAAAACCTGGAAGATAAATAACCTAGAAACTACCATTCTAGGCATAGAAACTAGCAAAAAGATTTCATGATGAAGATACCAAAAGCAATTGCAACAAAAGCAAAAATTGACAAATGGAACCGAATTAAACCGAAGAGCTCTTGCACAAAAAAGGAAAATATTAACAGACTAAATAATCAACAAAAATTTTTTTAAAGTTGCAAACTATTTTCTTACAGAGATTTAATATCCAGAATTATGACACTTAAATAACTTTACAAGAAGACAGCATACCACCGTATTAAAAAAGTAGGCAAAAAACATGAACAGATGCTTTTGAAAACAAATAGGTAGCTAGCAAAAATTTTTTTTTTTTTTTTTTT